TAAAGGGGGGGGGGGGGGGAAGGGAATATTTTTTAGGAAAATATACCCCCCTGATGTGAATTAAAATCTAATCTAATATTATTATGCAAATTGAAATATTTATATGCTCGGAAAGAGCCAGTAGAGGATGTTTTTTGTTTACATCCATGTACATTTGTACTTAAATATGATAAAAGGGGTAATGTTACATCGTCTATACGCAATATCCCCTCTACTGAACTTCTGACCTACTAACTATCCGACCTACTGCAATATTGGACATACGCCAGCCGTTTATTTGTGTACTATTTGAGGGTTAGGTTAGGTTAAGACAATTTCTGGGCCGAGCGATACGGCAAGGACAAGCTAGGGGGCCGAGCCCCGCGGCAATAGGGGACCGGGCGCTGCAGCCAAAAGTTCATCTAGCAGCTGTAAAACCACATGCTTGTCATGCTAGTTGGTCGTATGTGAAGTATAGCAGATTTGGCGTAGCTCAGAAGTGGGGTATCGTGGGTTTTCGTAGATCGAAAGATATACCATCAATTGAATTTGTTTAAAACTATAATGACGACTTGACAGATTGAAAATTATCAGTTTTTACATTTAAAACATTGATATCATCAGACATAGCTTTGTTAATCGGGCATTGCCATCATTGCATCTATATAAAAAATTTTGAATGCTGATTATCTTTTATTAATGTAATTTGTATATAATTGCATCACATAGAAATATTAAAGCATATATATATATATGTTCAAAACATAGTTAAAAATTCTCGATACAGAAATTTGACAACAGGGAAATTTTGAAAATAATAAGATATGAAGCATATTTTGTACATTGTACATTGTACAATGTAGTTGCCCAGCATTACACTTACATAAATCATAGGTCAAATAACAAAATGTTTAGAACGTAAAACTTAGAGAGGAATTCTGAACGCACATTAGTAATTTCTTAAAGGGAGTGACCGGCAATGTATGGTGGTTGAACTAAATATGTAGTATTGTGGAAAAATGGTTTAGGATTTAGTTGAGACATATAAATTACGTTTCTACGGCGTATATTTGAATTTACTAAGTTTGAGCGCAAATCAACGTTCAAAATCATGAATTTGGGTCAGTATGTTTTCAGAATCGGTTTTATGCAGATTTGCTGGAATTTTTATAGAAAAGACGACATCTGAAGAATTTGTATACGAATACATAGAAAATAAGAAATTCAATATAATGATGAAAACGAAATAATTGATTCTAAGATTGATTTATTGACAAATTTCTTTTGAGAAATATGTTCATAAACAGTAAATTAGTTTTCTGTATAATTTTACTTTATTTTTCGTTGTCGTTATTTAATAATTAAAATAAACGATTCTGAAAACCTACCCACCCAAATTCATGATTTTGAACTTCGACTTTGCACTCAAACTCAGTAATTAAACATTGAAGAAACGTTGCATATGTCTCAAATAATTCCTAAATAATATTTCCACAATACTGCATACTCAGTTAAACCACCATACATTGCAGGTCACTCCCCTTATCGGTTTCGCTATGTTAGCTTTTGTGAACAAAATATTAGAAGATATAAATATTCTACTAAGAGTGTAAATGGAGTAAACGTGAGTTTAGGGAGGAACAATGAACAAAGACAGCTGAAATATTATTTTATCAAATCAGAAACTTTAAATTATGTTTCTGGTTTTTGTGTGACAAAATACTGAAGTTCAATGGCAAAAGTTGCATTTTTTGAAAAAGTTTTTGCCATACTTTTATTCATTCCCCTTTTTTCGAAATTTAACAGAACCCTGGTGAATTTCAAAAATACTTTGAAGGAAAAATCGATAAAAAATATTAACAGTTAAAAACATAACTATGCATCTGATCTTCCTTTTTAAAATTTGTAAACAATTCAGTTAAACCACATACAAACCTTCAATTATCACAATCAAAGGTCTAAATCTGTTAAATGTGTTGAGACAAAGAAAAACATGCACCATTTTCACGTGGTGGATTTTCCCGCCAATTTTGGTGGCGCCAATCCTCGAGACACGACACTAGCGCCACTGCATGAACCTGCGGCGAGACTAGGAAGCGAGGTGACAATATTTAAAAGATCTGTCAGAGATACAGAGAGTTTAACATCGACAACAGAGCCATGATCCTGTTCAGCTACTTCTTTCTCTTCCTACAATTATTTTTTAAATTTCAAGTTTGTTTTTTAAATTGTTTAACATTTGCTTCAATATTTCAATTTCAATCTCTAAATCTGTCAAAAAAAAATTACAACCGGCAAGAGCATCAAATAATTATAGAAATTTAATTGGCTGGCCTTGCAGGCTCAGTAAGCAGGAAGTTATTTTATTTGATTATTTCATGTAACAGTATTTTAAATTAAATCTGAAGAATCAAGTGTTGGTAATTTTTTCACAAATGTAAATATTATGGATTACCTTGAGAATTGACCAGCTCTCAAGAACATTATTAAACTCCTCTAACTTAGCTTGATTTTCTGTAGCATTGTACACCTAAACATTATAGTTTTACTGGCTTGGGAACCCAGTGTTGAACAGGTTAGTCATAGTGAATTCCCCCGTTTACCCGCGCTTGGTCTTCTAAAACGATATAAGCTATTGTTCCCAATAAAATTGGACCCATTCAAAAGAAAGAATACAAAGACTGTTAAAAAAAATGTTAAATGAAGGTAATTACTTTTTTAAAGGAGGGGTAGTAGAATATTTTTAAAATATGAATTTTATGAGAAATAACTGACCTGAATGAGTCCTCTATAGTCGTATTCAAGTCCAGAGTAGGAGGGTCCAAACAGTTTTATCCCAATCCTTATACTTCTAGAAACATCGGATTGATTTATTAGATTGATAAAGTACTACACTATCCTATAAGAAGTGAGAAAACGTCTGAAAGCTTTCTACTGGCTGAATCGAAATCTGCATAAGCAATGAGAAGCGCAGACACATTTCTATTCTATTGGCTGAATCAATACCTATTTATAAGCTTTCTATTGGCTGAATCAATACCTATCTATAAGCTTTCTATTGGCTGAATCAATACCTATCTATAAGCTTTCTATTGGCTAAATCAATACCGATCTTTAAGCTTTCTATTGGCTGAAACAATACCGATCTATAAGCTTTCTATTGGCTAAATCAATACCTATCTTTAAGCTTTCTATTGGCTAAATCAATACCGATCTTTAAGCTTTCTATTGGCTGAAACAATACCGATCTATAAGCTTTCTATTGGCTAAAACAATAACAATCCAACCAATGAGAAACTAACCTGATATACAGCTGTTCTGCTTTACTAAACTCCTTCATGTCGTAGTTGTAGAGGGAGGCAAGATGACCGACAGATAAGGCTACTTCGTAATCATCAGGTCCAAGCAGATCTTCCTTTATCCGTATTGCTTTCAGATGCATCTCTTCTGCTGCAGAGTACCTTTATACAGGAGAATTAATTAATTAATAAATTAATTAATTAATTAATTCATTGATAAATATAACAAATAGTTGTTCGAAATGCCATTAAAAGACTGTTTAGCCCAACTTAATTCGGAAATAAATAAAGCTTTCAATAAACGATTAAGCAATAAATGAATTGATTGATTAGAGAAACGGATTACTCTCCTTTTATTCTGATGTTTTAATCCTCTAGACCTTTGATATTTCAATCTATAAATTCTAGACCTTTGATATTTCAATCTATGAATTCTGCTAGATCAAATAATCTAAGTTAGAAATACCAAAGGTTAACATCACTATGAAATGTTATCAGGTTTGTAAATATAAAGTTAAGAGAAATAGATTTTCATGCAAATTCAGTTTCTTCATGAATATATCAATGAATGCACAGAAATTCTAAAAATAAATGAACAAATGAAAAGGCATGAAAATATAAAAGGTATTCACAGAATATTTCATTACAAATTAAACCAATGAATCAAAAACAACCCCTTAATATCAAAATAAATAAAAAAGAAGTTTTCTTGTGAAATGCATCTAATTATTTGACGAAAATTTGAATAAATTAATGAATGAAGAAAAAATGAAATGAGGCAGGACAAATAAATGAATGAATAAATGGATAAAATAATGAATGAAATGAGGACGGACGAATAAATGAATGAATAAATGAATAAAAGAATGAATAAAATGAATGAATAAATAGGTGAATGAAAGGACGAAAGGATGAATGAATGAATGGATGAATGAATGAATTATTAAATGACTAAATGAATAATTAACCTGTGCATGGTCTGATATAAACGACCAAGGTTACCGTGGTGCTTTGCAGTTTGGACATTTCTGAAAAGGAATTCAATTCAGTTATTTTGAAAAAAATTTGGGCCAATATTTTAAAAATTAGTTTATTCTAACAAAATGAAATCAAATAAATATATGAGAATTAGCCAGGTTACAGATCAGAGTTCTAAAAAAATCCTTGTTTTTCGATCAGAAAACAGATACTTTTTAATTATACTAAGTATTTAAAAGTTGCCGGTCTGGTATCTGGTATATATATTAAGTAGTATTAATCATCAGATAATAGTAATGATAATTGTGTAGCTTGGTAAATCCATGAGAATGTTCTTAGCTTGGTTTAAGAATTTACTTAGTTCCCAGCCTATTCTTATATATTACTAGCTGGAGTGAAATAGACATCTTGAGAGCAAATAGATAAGGGGGGGGGGCTACCTCTCTCCGAAGCATGAAATTGACATCTTGAGAGCAAATAGATGAAGTTCTTCAGCTTTCCTCAGCATCATATCCTTCTCCAACGGATTCTAATAAATAAGGATTATCAAGGATGAACAAATGAATGAATAAGAAAATGTGGAATATATTAAGTTAAAGATTAATGAACAAATAATAAAAAGAATAAATGAATGAATTACCTGTTCATTATCTATGGCTATCTCCTCTAATATAAGCGCTAGAACACGTTTAGGAGAAGCTAGCAGAAGATGTTGCTCTGGGAGCAGTTTAGAGCAAATACTCAGAGATGATAGAGCATGCTTTTTTGCATCCTGAGCAATCAATCAATCAATCAAAAAAAACACCAATAAATCATATTTCTTTAAAATATGAACAGAGTATCCCCAAAAAACGTGGTGGTTGCGAGAGTCTCAATTTTAGACCAATATTGATAATTTTGGACATTTTTGATATCTATCAAAAATGTCTGCTTTAGAATTTATCAAATGCAAAAAAAATAAACGATGATGGTGGTCATATAGTTTTCTATTGTAAACATTCATAATATATATCCAACTATAATTTTCTGTTAATACTCCCTGAATTAATATTTTTATTAATGTGTTAAAGATTGGATTTTTATTTTGTTCTTTGAATAAAGATTATTTTGAATCAGAGGAATTCTAAACCTTGAGACTTAAATGAAATTTGCTACAGGCATCGTCGTATATATTAATACAATGAAGCCAACTTTCTATTTTGATTTTTACCAATCGTTTATACAGTAGAGACACAAAAACATGGAAACAAAAATAAGTTGTCAAATAACAGTTTTTTTTGTTTACTTGTAAACTTGTTGTTTGAAAAATGCTTAATAGGGATCAAAGCATTAACAGATAAGTCATATCAGGACAGGCAATACTGTGGAGTGAGGAGTAACCAGCCCCTACAATGGCCCTACCAACAGCAAAGCACTACCCCTGCATCACCTGCAAGAAGAATGACAAAGCAGTTCAATGTAGTCTTTGTGATCTTTGGATTCACTACAGCTGTAGTGACATGTCAGAAGAAATGCTTAAATTGCTCAACATGATGGAAGAACAAGCAGATTCTCATGCCTGGAGCTGTAAGTGCTGCAAAAGTGCAGTCCAGAATCTTAACAAGAAAACAACGAAAATCTTTGCAACCTCATAGAAACAGTCTATGAGGTCCTATGATTTAATCCAAACCATTTAGAAACTTTGACAAAGTGAACAGTTACATCTGGTTCTCTATTGTAGAGTCCACTCAATCTAGAGTGACAAGACACACCTCTAACCCTTTCAATCTCCAGGTGAAACAGGCCAGAACAGAAATAAGAAAAAACTTTTTATTGTAAGGATCCCAGAGAAATGGAACTCTCTTCCTTCCGAGGCCAGAGAGTCAAAAACTATCAACATGCATGAATCAAGATATGACTCATGGTTTGAAGGGACTGCTTAGTTTTGAACCTCAAGTACAACCCTATAGCAGTCACTGGACCTCACAACACTCCTACCATGGTCCTACATGGACCTTTTGGAGTTCACCACTAAGTATACCCCAAGTAACTATTAAAATAAAAAGTAGTTGTATTGATATAATCACCAACCAATGTATAGAGAGGAATGTGTTATCTACAAGGGGAATTAAACCAGTTCTGCTTGAGTATGAAGATGACACTATCTGTTGGAAAACCATTCGTTCTCACAACAGGAGACCCTGGTAAAAAATGGAGGATTGGTAATTCTGAGGATACACTGGAGGAGTCGTTGACTGCTAAATACCTAGGAGTAAATATTCAGCTAAGAGGCAGGTGTATTCTACGAAGAGAGAAGGATGTGGTCACAGCAGCAAGGAGGTATGCTCACTCAATCATGAGCTTAACAAGAGCGGGACTGGATAGATCAAGATTAGCCAGGATCTTGTGGGAAACATGCGGGATCCCAGCTATCCTCTATTGCTCAGAGGTCATGAGTTTTAACAAGAAAAGGATAGAGTCCCTAAAGAAAATCCAGGGAGAGGTTGGGAATTTCATACTCCAAGTTCCTTACTCAACTGCACGGGTATCCTCATGGACAGATGCAGGACTCATGCCAATGAAGTTCAGAATATGGATGAGAAAGGCTAGGTATTACTGGAGAGCAGTAAACAAGAAAAAGGATCCAATTCTTACAGAGTGTCTCAGAGTAGTACTGGAGAACCCAGAGGAGGATGAGTGGGCCAGAGACATCAAGGAGATAGAAGACGCTATCAAATCCAACATTCCTGATCTATCACTATCTCAGCTACGCAAGAAAGTGAATGATGTGGCAATTGAAGCAGTCCTAGATGCTAAACAAGGTCTTCATTCACTCCAGTCCCAACCACAACCAAAAGAGTGGTTCAAACTACCGGAACATGTAAATGATTGTAGACGCAGTAAAATCATAAACATGGCCAGGTCTGGCAACTTACAGTTAGGAAACCAGATGAGAAACAAGTATGGAAAGCAGTGGAAAACATGCCCAGTCTGTAGTACAAACGGCAGGTATGTTAGGCTGAATGAACCCCACGTACTGCTTGAGTGCCCGGTAACAACAAGTGAGAGGAAAGATTGTGAAATAGCTGAATACGAAGAAAAATACCAGGAAGGCCACCAAGTACATCCTTAGACGATAACTAGGACAGGATGGATGCAGTAGAATGGAGCTTCTGAAACGTGCAAGAAACATCCATTTGATGGCAGAAAAATGGATGGACTATACTAAACATATGTGAGGTGAGAATTTAATAAATCTTAAATCAAATCAAATCAAACATAATAGTAATATTAGGATGTTAAGTATCAGATGGAAGATATAAAGTAGTAGTTTTAAACTAATAGCTGATAAATAGAAGGTAAATAAACATCCCATAATAGTGGGGAATTGCCATATGCCAGACCATAATAAATCATTGAGAAAGACCATGTTGATTTTACAAAGAAACAAACCATCCCTTGTACAGGGCCTGTTGCCCAGTTAGGGGTGGGTGGGTTGGTGTATGTCAACCTTGGGGCTCGGTCTACTCTGGTTCCCGATAATCTCAACACCCAGTACGCTTACATCCAGGGTTCTATAATAGAACATGCCCTAGGCGGTTTACAAACAGACAACCCCAGGCATGATTGTACACGTATCGTGAGGGGAAGTACTGATGGGTGTGGCTTCATACTGGGAATAAAATCCCCAGAAGTTTTGTTTAATAATATTAATAGAGAATGAATGAAGGCTCCAGTTTACATCATTTGATCAGAAATTTACAGTAGATATAAAAAATATTCAAAGACCGTCAAAATTGGTCCAAAATTGAGGCTCTAGCTACCATCTATGAGGCTTTCTTGGGACACCCTTATGTGTATGTCTCACTCATAAAGGGTCCCAATTTTAAAATTTTACGGGGATATGCATTACCACTTTTTCCCCCCCCCCCCCCGCCCTCACTAAGTGTTCAGCTCATGACCCTGAAAAGGGAATCCAAATATGAGTTTTTAATTAAAGGCCCTGAAAGTTACCTGGAAGTGTCCTGAACTGTACTCCAGTACATAACTGCAGTAGGCTAAATCCTCATGTGCCACTGCAACCTTATAAAGGGGTTTTTCAGATATTTCAGTAAAAGGAGGGAGGGGTAAGAAATCAGTGTAATAATGTTCAGAATAAAATTCATATTTACCCTTAAATTGTCTCCTCCAAAGTAGTTCAATCTAACCTCTAGTGCATTTTGGTAAACCTGAATATTTTAAAATTTACTTTTAACTCCAGAGGCTGAATTTAAAGAACTTAAATCGTGTCGCTGGACCACAAAGAAATGGTTCCAATTGAGTGCTGCCTCAAATCTTGAAACACTGAATACAATTTCAAGTGGAACCAACAATGTTTGAGTTGGGTCTCAAATTTAAGACGTTGCTCAAATTCTTTAAATTCCGCCTCTGGAATTGTAAAAAAAGGTAAAATGAAATCTTATAATCCAAGGTCCTAGTGAAAAGTTTTTTTCTAAGAAATAACGTCAAAACAGCTTACATTTGGTTTAGAAAAAGCTTAAAATATAAAAAAAACTTTGATCTTGTTCCCATCTTGTTCCCCTGTAGGGCATAAGATTGTTTTTAAGAGGAAAATTGGACAATTTTACTGTTTAATCAACAAAACCTAAGGGCAGCTTCACTTTTCAAAAATATTAATATAATTTACAAATGTTTAAAGTTATTTTATTTTGTACAATGACAACAAATCAAAACTGCTCTCTTTATTTATTTATTTTTATTATTGATCTAATTATTAATGTAATAATTATTCAATTCAAGATAACCTGCATAGATGGTGCTATGCTGTCTATGTTCAACAGATAAAACCCGAAATCCACCAAGCAGTCAGCATACTTCAGAGATAGATAATAAAAAAGAAACAACATTAGGCATGATTGTCAAACAATTTTTAGGATTAAATCGTCCTACAAGGTTTTAGAGTCAATTTTTTTTAATTCTTTAGCAAAAAAATGAGAAGAATGGCATTATAGTAAATCGAAAAACAAAGATTGTATTTCTTTTGGTAAAGAAATTAAGAGTATATTTCAAACCAATCAATACAAATAAAAGGAACACCCATATGCAAAGTCCTATGGTATAATATTTCTTGAATATTTTCTTATTCTTTGTAAAAAAATATTTTTTATTTAAGAAAAAATTTATATATTTACTTACTAATTTGCTTCGAACAGTTTCCTATTGTTATGAGAAAAACTTTTCATTCTTTTCATTAATTGGTTAATTAAGAAGTTGTTGGGACACTTGAATCTAATCTATGAAGTAGTGGTTGGGACACTTATCCATGAAATAGTGGTTAGGACACATGAAACTAATCCATGAATTAGTGGTTGGGACACTTGAAACTAAACTAATCCATGAAGTAGTAGTTGGGACACATGAAACTAATCCATGAAGCAGTGGTTGGGACACTTGAAACTAAACCAATCCATGAAGTAGTAGTTGGGACACATGAAACCAATCCATGAAGTAGTGGTTGGGACACATGAAACTAAACCATTAAGTAGTGGTTGGGACATACAAAACTAAACCATGAAGTAGTGGTTGGGACATATGAAACTAAACCATGAAGTTGTGGTTGGGACAATTGAAACCAATTCATGAAGTAGTGGTTGGGACACATGAAACTAAACCATGAAGTAGTGGTTGGGACATATGAAACTAAACCATGAAGTAGTGGTTGGGACAATTGAAACTAATCCATGAAGTATTGGTTGGGACACGTGAAACTAAACCATGAAGTAGTGGTTGGGACATACAAAACTAAACCATGAAGTAGTGGTTGGGACACATGAAACTAAACCATGAAGTAGTGGTTGGGACACGTGAAACTAAACCATGAAGTAGTGGTTGGGACACATGAAACTAAACTACAACTAAGTACATCCTGTCTTAACTGGAATATTTTTAGTCATATTTCAATATCTCATTCAAAATCTGTCAAGAATAGCGTAAAAGACTTCATATCCTAACTGGAATCTAAGGGGGTGATAATGCCTCTAAATAAGTGCTGCTGGAACGAGCACATAAAATGAACACGATCCTGGGCGCTGGCTGTTCCTATCAGGACCACTATGAATACCGGTGAATCATCTTGCTTCAACTAACACATTTGTCAAATACCAACCAACCAATAATTGGTTTGCCAGCCACCGGAAGTATATCCTTGATCCCCCTGGCTGGGGAAAGCTTGGGGGGATTAAAGGTCTGACAGTGGAACAGGTATTTAGACAGTGCTTCCAATATCTGTTGGTGGTCTGGGGGGGTCCACATTAGGGTCTCTTACAGATTCCATTTTCTTATATTTAAATTACATAAGCCAACATAAAAGTAGACAAAGCTAACACAAAAAATTGGTGAAAATGGGTTCCAAAGTTTAAACTCACTGACCTTTAACAAAGGACCAAATCTAATGAACTGAATTAATTACCACTGGTTAAAATCTTAAATTACCAATTCAAAGTTTTAAATTCATGAGGATTTAAGTTATTGATTTAGGATTTGAACCAGCGGTATGTTGTTCAGCGATTTCTCTAATTCATTTAATTGGGTCACAGGACATTGTATTTACCATTGTGTTATTTACTTAAATATGAAATATATCTAAATTCTAATAATAGTTTTGGATATAATTGACAATAATTATCTATCTAGTTTCCTTAGCATGGTTAATTCCAAATGTTTCACGACACATACTCACAGCCTACAAATATAAATTAAGTTTTATTTTTACTTTTTAATTTTTTTTGTGTGGGTCGGGCGAATGTTTAAACGTTTAAAAGTATCAAATTTTCATTATATTTCCCATTTGCCAATTTTTGAAATTTTTTTCTCTATTTTAAATTTTTATCCGTTCATTACATTTGCCCTTCTCTTCTCTTTCTTGGTTGGATCCTCAATTTTTTTTTAAATAAACAAACAGTCCCTTTAAATAAACAAACAGTCCCTTTAAATAAACAAACAGTCCCTTTAAATTTTAAATAAACAAACAGTCCCTTTAAATAAACAAACAGTCCCTTTAAATAAACAAACAGTCCCTTTAAATCGTTAATTTTTACCTGTTTTATCAACATTTCAGCTCTCACAAATTCTCTTTTCACAATACAAGCTTTACTTCCCTGAACAGTGTACGGTACAGTTTAAGTGTAAAGTACAGTATATGTACAGTACAGAACAAACTGCCGAGTACAGTATATTCTTTACAGTACAGTATATAATGTGTATTACAGTATATAGTTTACAGTGCAGTATAAAGTGTATTGTACAGTGTAGTGTAGTGTAGTGTACAGTACTATATGTCATGTATAGTACAGCATAAATTGTATAGTCCAGTTTAAGTGTACAATACAGTATATAATGTATAGTATAGTATAGTCTGCCGAATACAGTATATATTTTTACATTACAGTATTAAGTGTATAGTACAGTTTTTACTATAGAGTACAGTATTGTTAAAACAAATTCGAAATATAAGGAAGACGATTGTACCGACTCAAATGCCGATGTTAATTCCCTGGATGTGTGTGTACTCAGAATCCTTTTCCGCCATACAACACACCCCACATGTCAAATCTCCGCTCACCCTAGCTCCCGCTTCACCAGTCAGTCAGCCGAAAATATCCGAGATGATCACAGCTCCGTCTCAGGGAGCAATCCTGGCTCCTTCATAGTGATGATGCAGATACCTATCTACCAACAGACGATGCTTACATCCAGCTCAACATTGTTCCAAGAGTTCCAAAATTATCAGGCGAACATTGACATGCATTCCCTCATATTCGAAACTGATAAAACAGCGATCTCTCACCCTGTTCCAAGGGTTCTAATTTTCCTCTACAAGAGGATACTCACCCTGTTCCAAGGGTTCTAATTCTCCTCTACAAGAGGATACTCACCCTATTCCAAGGGTTCTAACTCTCATCTACAAGAGGATACTCACCCTGTTCCAAGGGTTCTAACTCTCCTCCACAAGAGGATAATCTCAACTCTAATGAGTTTAATAACCTGGAGAGAGCAGAAACCTGTTGTTCCAGTTCTAGTTGATCTGCACCACCAATATGAAGTTATACACTACCAACATGAAGTTGCTACTGATGTTCGTCAATTTATAATCCTTTGTTCAATTTCAATCAACCAATTTTAACTTCGCCATTTGTGCAAATATTTCAAAACAATATTATTTTTCTTAAATAAATGTTATAGAATATTTGGGTTTTTCCTGATTTCTTTATTTGTATATTTTCTGACCTTTTTTAAAGGTCAACAAGTATGTAGTTTACAGTACACTATATATTGTATAGTACAGTATATAGTTAACGGTAAAGTGTTCAGAACAGAATATAGTGTTAAGTACTGTATACAGTGTATAGTACAGTATATAGTGTACTGTACAGTATATAGTGTACAGTACAAAGACGACCTGCAATAAATCATTGTTCATTTTGCTATGGTCAATGAGTTTTTTGTCTAAAAAATGTATATATTCTTAATTTTGAGAGGAATATTATTTAATTTCATTGGGAAATTAGCCCCCGCTAATTCCCCCTTAAAAACCAAACCATAGTAAAAAGTACAAAAATGATAATTTATAAAAAATACTTGTCTAATCAATTTTAATGCCTAGAAAATAATAATGATAAAAATAATAACAATATAAATAATACAGTACAGTATAGTACAGTACAGTAAATGTACGCTGTACAGCTAAAAGTAGTACACATCAATCTCGTAGTACAGTGTATTGTTTAATTATTTAAATATAATAACAACAAAACTGGGAGAAAGGCAAACAAGGAACTAATAAACAGTAAAAAGGGTAAATTTATCAGTGTTCTACCCAGTGAAAGGATCCATTTAAATTTGATGCGGATCCGGATCCGCATCCGAATCCTGGATCCGCATTGGAAAAAATGGATCCGGATCCGGATCCAGGTCATTTCTTTAAGATTTACTGAATTTTTTTAACAAAAAACAATTTTCAAATTTTTTGTTTTATTTTTTTCGCTTATTTTTATCCTAAAACTTGATGAACCATTCAGAAATGAGGAAAATTTTATAATCTTTCTTTTTTTCAAAAGTTTAGATTTGGGTTTTAGGAGTAAAAAAGTTTTTGTTGCAGTTTTTGGTTGATATTTTACCCCTTGGATCCGTATCCGTGGATCCGCATATTTTTGCGGATCCGGATCCAGGAATCCAAGATCTTGCGGGTCCAACGGATCCGGATCCTAAGCACTGGTTCTGCCTTTGGAACCCAGCTTTGTCTGTAAACTAAACGTTCTCTCTAAAAGTCAACCTACTCAATTTTGAATTTTCGAACAAAGCTAAGAAAATTTCCGTTGTTCTACGGAGTTCCCCAATCAAAATTTGAGGCAAATTTTAGTCAAGGGTTCCTGAGTTACAGATAAGAAAACAATCAGTCAGACAAACAGAGATTACTACCTTATATATACTAGCTTGGGAACCCAGCGTTGCCTAGGGTACTCATAGTTACTCCCGCGGTTTACCCCCACTTGGTCATTCTGTTACAGCTCCGAGATTGAGAAGAAGACGACATCAGAGAAGAATTAAACTTGTTAGTTCACAACTTAAGTATAAATAAAATAATATCCAATTTTATCATAATAATATAAAGTTACCTGTAAGGACCACTGAAATGATTCATTGTAAGAACTGCAGAGAAAACTGTACACACTGAAATATTAAAATAAATATTGGAATTACAAAAATGTTGTGATTCTTTGACAATTTGATGATAAGAAGCAAAAGTGTTGCATGCTATGTCATCAAAAATTAATTAATGAATTGAAGAATTTACCAATTGGCAAAATGAATCGTAAAGGATGAATTATAGAATGAGACAAGACATGAATAAATAATCAAGAAAAAATGAACAAATGAATAAATGAATAATCACTAAACACATTAATTAATAGAATTAATGAATGAATGAAAGGATGAATATGTGAATGAATGAATGAAAGGATGAATAAATGAATGAATGAATGAATGAATGAAATAATGAATAAATGAATGCAAAAATAAATGATAAATATACCTGAACTGGTTAAATATTCTGCAAACTAGAGGTTTTGGAAGATTAGGATTGGATTTTACTAAAAAAAATCATTTTGAAGTGAAGTTCAAAAACTATTTTATTCTGTTTTGGTGTCCAAATTTTTTAATTTCAGTTTAGAACCTGGAACTATTGATGCCATTTTAAGTATTTCTATATTTATAGATTAGTTTGGTCGATTCAAATCAATAATAACCTTTCCCGTCTTAGTAATAAAGAGATTGATATTGTTATTTTTGTTTCACTGTAAAATTCGAAATTTCTTTCTTAGTCTTTGAAGCAATGCAAGTCACTTTTTAGAGAGAAACCACAAATGAAAAACAACAAATTTTTGGCATAAAAATCATGGATAAATTGTTCATTATTGTTTCAAGGGTACACATTTGAATTGTACATGCCCCTCTGTGAATGGAGAGTCTTGAAAAGAACACCGATACAACACCACTGTAAATCAAATTTAAGAGAATAAAAATAGAATTGTTCAATCTCATTAATCTAAATAATAAAGGTCCTCACTCAAATATATTTGTATATATATTTGTATATATACGATCCTAACAAGCCCCCTACCCTGAGGCTCACATTTCATTATCTAATTGGGTAAAAAAAAATTGAGAGAACCCATGGGTAACATAGGGAGAAAAAATATTTCTTCAAAATTCGATTTTTTTCTAAAATCGAAATTTTTATTTCCACGTGCAACGCCGGGCACTTCAGCTAGTTTAAAATTAATTTAGAGTAAAAACTAAGACCGAGGTGAATGATACTTTTTTGACCAATTTTCCCTGTTAATTGATAAACAGGGAGAGATGTAGAGAGAATGCAGGGGGGAGGGAAGGGGAGAAGTAGAGAGTATGCAGAGGGGAGGGAAGGGGAGAAGTAGACAGAATGCAGGGGGGAGGGAAGGGAAGAAGGGGGAAAGTTACCTGTATTATTAAGAGCATTAAACACCGTCTCTGCCTCAGAAAACAAACAATAATTGGAGAGAGAATTGAGAAGACGACATTGTATCTCTTCTCTCCAAAATCCAGGCTAAATAAATCATTAATTATAAATAAACACTTAACACAACCCATTAGACCATAATGATATTTTATAATAATAATAATGATATAAAAATGATGATTTTATAAAAATGTTGTAAACTGTGCAGTTTTGTCCTTCAATTCTCTGTTTAAACCCAGGAAACTCTCAGGATCTTTTTTCTCTAGTTGGCAACTGTTTAAAATCTTGATCATGGAGCCAAAACTCGAGTTTTTTATTCAAGTTGAAACTGTTTAAAATCTTAATCATGTAGCAAAAACTCGAGTTTTTTTTTCTCTAGTTGGCAACTGTTTAAAATCTTGGTCATGGAGCCAAAACTCGAGTTTTTTATTCAAGTTGAAACTGTTTAAAATCTTGATCATGTAGCAAAAACTCGAGTTTTTTTTCTCTAGTTGGCAACTGTTTAAAATCTTGATCATGGAGCCAAAACTCGAGTTTTTTTCCCAAGGTGGAACTGTTTAAAATCATGGAGCCAAGATAAAAAGATGGCAATATCCGATTCACCAAGAAACCTTGGTTATACTAAGTATTTAAATGTTGCCGGCCTGATATCTTCATATATATTAAGTAGTATAAATCATCAGATGATAATGATAACAATTATGTAACTTGGTAAATCCATGGGCATGTTCTTAGCTTGGTTCCCAGTCTATCCTTTATCTGATAATTAATGTTGAAGATATTGTCGTTTTTCAAGGTTTAGAAGTGCTAATTTCTGATAATTTCATATATTTCCTGCAGTTGACATTCGGAAGTCACGTTTATATAGAGACCAGTTTAAAAAAAAAAACTTAGGATCCATTTAACTTTGACTAAAAAAATGGATCCGGATCCGGGTCATTTCTTTCACATTTACTGATTTTTTTTTAACAAAAAATAATTTTCCAATTTTTTATTTTATTTTTTTCGCATATTTTTATCCTAAAACTTGATGAACCATTCACAAATGAGGAAATTTTTATAATCTCTCTTTTTTCAAAAGTTCAGATTTGGGTTTTAGGAGTAAAAGTTTTTTTTCAGTTTTTGGTTGATATTTTACCCCTTGGATCCGCATCCCTGGATCCGCATACTGTTTCGGATCCGGATCTAGGAAGCCAAAATCTTGCGGATCCAACGAATCCTAAGCACTGTTTAAAAAATATTCAGTTTTCAAAATTTTAAACGTTGAAATCTATTTCACACTTGATCAGACAACGGTTTTCTGGGTACCATTGTGAATCTGGAATCGGCATCTTTCAATTCAGGCTCTTTTGAATTTACACTTATAGACCTAACATGACTATGGTTGGCAATGTAGGGTACTTCTAAAATATAGATTTTTCTAGAAACAATAAATTAAAATATTTTACCAAATTCTGTGAATCTACGTTCGTCAGACAAATCCTATGAATTACTTGATTACAACAAAACGATTCTTAACAAAAATTAAAAAGATAAGTACATTAGTAAATTAACAGGATTAGTAAAGGATTAGCGTACCTTAGTGCTCTATACACTTTAAGTTCGTTGTCGTTTAGTGGGGATTCCAACGAAAGTGGATTTAACTTGAGTACAATCCCGCACCATTCTGTACGATTCCGCGAAATTCGGCGCAACACAACTTTTATTGAAAAAACCTATTGTTTCGCCAAAATAGAGGCAATGTTATCCACATAAGGTTGGCCTACTTCAGGGGTGTATATTTTTCAAGAATGATTTTGATGATTTTGGGAGCAAAAATGAAGAATGTGACGTCAACTTTTTTCATTATTTTTGATACTTTTTGTACCTAAAATTCAACATTTTTCCCTGCAGCATGTGCATATATATCATATGAGAGAAAAAATTATTTTCAAAAAGGGGGGGGGGCGGGGGGGGAGAAAAAAGGATTTTCCAAAAAAAAAGAAGAGTTTTTTAAAGTTAAAAATCAAGTTCCTGAATGTATTTATAGCCTCTAGGAACCTCCCAGCCTCCATAAGGAATCCTCCAAAGTTTATCCCGGCCTCCAAACCCTTCTGCAAAGACTAGAATATTCAAGAAATGCGCAATTTTATAAATAAAAATAACATATGTAAGTCAGTATATGGAGATATTAAAAAAAAAGAAATGATTACAAAATTCAAAATATTTATCTATGAAACATAAAATATTTAAGTCTAATAATAAATTTTAAAAAGAAATTATGATATCAAAAAGTGGGGAATGATATTTTCTGATATTTGATTTGGACGATGTTTTCCTTTTCACAGCTTCAAGTGTTAAAATTTGACAAATTTCCTGCAGCAGATATGCGCAAACCATCTTCAAGAANGTGGACTTCTTGTTGCCATCCCCCCCTACAGGGGGGGCAAGCCTTCTTAAAGACGCAACAAATAGAAGTAAGATTAGTAGCGATCACCATCGATAGTTTTTTTGCCATCAGCCTAATATACCCCTTTTCATTTTTGACGAACACTCTCTTTAAGTATTAATAGCAGTCGGTAATAGTTTTCAAATAAGTCTCATACAAGATGTTAAAATAATTAAATCTAAAGGAAACCATTGCAATAAATTCATAACAGTCCAAAATATACGCGCAAAATAGGGTCTGGTAGAAACCCTGATTTAAATATGATCTGGTAGAAACCCTGTTTTAAATATGATCTGGTAGAAACTCTGTTTTAAAATTGATCTAGAAGAAACCCTGATTTAAATATGATTTGGTAGAAACCTTGTTTAAAATATTATTTGGTAGAAACCTTGTTTTAAATATTATCTGGTAGAAACCCTGTTTTAAATATGATCTGGTAGAAACTCTGTTTTAAATATAATCTGGTAGAAACCCTGTTTTAAATTTGATCTAGAAGAAACCCTGATTTAAATATGATCTGGTAGAAACCTTGTTTTAAATATGATCTGGTAGAAACTCTGTTTTAAATTTGATCTAGAAGAAACCCTGATTTAAATATGATTTGGTAGAAACCTTGTTTAAAATATTATTTGGTAGAAACCCTGTTTTAAATATTATCTGGTAGAAACCCTGTTTTAAATATGATCTGGTAGAAACCTTGTTTTAAATATAATCTGGTAGAAACCCTGTTTTAAATATAATCTGGTAGAAACCCTGTTTTAAATATAATCTGGTAGAAACCCTGTTTTAAATATAATCTGGCAGAAACCCTGTTTTAAAAATCTGATAAAAACTCTTTCATATTTCTATTGGAAAAGAGTATATATTTGCCAGAAGCATTGCTTAGGATCCGGATCAACATGCGGATCCACGGATCCAAATCTAAATTTTAAAAAAAGTTGTTGCTCTCAAAACACACAAAGTTTTCCTTGGTAATTCAAAAAAATAATATTAAAATAATATTTTACTTACGAACTTACGTTTTAACATAACATAACATATAAAATAATATTTGGGAGGGGGGGGGGGGGGTGAAGAGAATGTATGCCCCCTTGACGGTCAACTAACCTGAACAAGGGAAGTGAGAAAACTTGTATTTGTTGATGCCGTGAACTGAATTATCTGGTGTAAATTCCCTCGTCTAGAATATAAAAACATATTTCAATTATTTAATTATTTAAGAAATATCAATCTATTTGTATCCAAAAAAACCCCAAGCACATTTTATCCTACAAGTAAGGTTTATGACCTTACCGGGCCTCAGAAAATCCACTAATGAAAGCAGAAAAATCTGCGAAAATTTTGTAATTGTTGCAGAATGTACACAATGCTCATAAAACATAAGACAAAAACTAAAATTAAAAACAGAAAGGTGGGAGGAAAACGCATTTATTAACCTACAGGGTGTCCCACGAAACATGACAGTTGGCGAATGGTTTTGAATGTCTTCTTCCATATATTATATTAGATATTAAAGACTTTTTGCAGTTTATTTCGTTAGCAAAATCTATTACTCAAATATATTTTACTTTTAAATCAATTTTTCTATAAAATGACTGCCATTTTATATTTTTTATTAATGATAATTAATCTCTTATATAATAAAGAACTTTAGAAATTATGGAAGAAGACATTTAAAACTATTCACCAACTGCCATGTTTCGTGGGACACCCTGTAGTTAATTAAACTTTGAATTAGTAAATATATGTATTTAATATATCTTCAACTATTTCATTAACATCACTGCCTTTGGTTTGTGGACGATTTTGCTAGATTTTTTCAATTTATTTATTTGAACGCCCAATTGTTAACATTAAAAAGAAGTTAGTTCGTAGAGTGAAAATTTTTAAAAAATCGAGAACAATGTTTTAATGTTTATGCAGTTTTTTTTACCTGTTTCCAACTTTCAGCAGTTTGGAAAATAAATCGAAACTTCTGAGCTCTAGACAAAATAATAATATAATTTCATCCACCAACCAATCTACCGAAAGGGTAACAAAATGCCAAAATATGTTTGTGTCTGGAAAAATCCCTAGAAAAATTTTTGTGAGTGAAAAATTGAACTTTCCTTAAAATTGAACGAGAAAATTGTTCATTTTATAATATTCAAAAATTTCATCAAAAAGCTGATAATAAATAAAAGAGACATTACAAAAAATTTAACAATCCACTATCCGCCAATTCTAAATCAATCAATCTACTCTCCGCCAATTTCAAATCAATCAATCTGCACTTTCCGCCAAACGTATAAATCAATCAATCCACTCTCCGCCAATTTCAGATCAATCAAATAACTCTCCCCCAATCCTATAAATCAACCAATCCACTTTCCCCCAATTTCAAATCAATAAATCCACTCTCCGCCAATTTCAAATCAATTCAATCTGCACTTTCCGCCAATCCTATAAATCAATCAATCCACTCTCCGCCAATTCTTAATTAATCAATCCACTCTCCGCCCATTTTTTATCAATAAGTCCACTCTCCGCCAATTTTTAATCAATCAATCTACTCTCCGCCAATTCTATAAATTAATAAATTCAGTAAGTCACCTAATTTGTAATAAATCAATCCACTAATCAATAAATTTTCAATTTGATTTAACAAATTAAATTTGTCACTAGGAATCAATATTAAAGAAAAAAGTTTAAAAAATAAATAAAAACACTTAAAAATAAATAAATTTCTGTCGTGGGTCAGATTTAATAAACAAAAGAATCAGTTAAACCACGGAAACATAGTTTATTCGGTTCAAGTTAAAGAAAAACGGCTCAAACACTTTTCGTTATTCATTAACTTGTTTCCCGAAAATTTAGCATTTCCCGTTCCCTTTTAACTAGTAGGGTTTACTATATTAAATCTAATGTAACCCCTCCCGTCTTCTTCAAAAATGCTAAGAATAAAGGCCATCGAACTGATATAAACTTAAATTTCGTCCCTCCTTTAACAATTTCAAGAACAATCCCTTTAAACCCTAAAATGTTAGGTGCTGACCGGAGGCGAGTGTAGCTGAGGATTGAGGAGTCGACCGGTCATTGTAAACCTGATAAAAAATTTTTATATTTGTGTCATTTCAACATGGGACTGTAAACGTAATTTTACTAAATCCTCTATATAAAAATGACTAAGGGTATATATTTTCTTGAAAATCATTCCCCCCCCCTTCCTTTTAAAAGCCGTTTTTACCAGTAGATGCTAGGTATGTTTTCTCGTGGCGGACTTTGTTTACTTGAGTTTTAGCTGAGTTTATTTTAGGGTAACAAAGTATCAAAATGGATGGAATCAAGTTAAAAATCAACCCCATTCAGGAAGGATAATTTTTGTAATTTTTTGTAAATGAGAACGGCATACTCAGTTGACAACGGTACCCTTGAAAACTTGATCTGATTAATAATTTGGAAGATTTCGTAAATTTACTGGCTCACAACGGGATTTTTGAGAACTTTTCCACTGTTTCTTCGGTAGAAATGCACAAGAAATTTTTAAAAGAGAAAACCAAATTGAAAATAATAAATTTTCAAAGAAAAAAAACATGAATATTTCATTCATTCTTTATCCTAAATCGCATCGAATTCAAGGTTATACCATTGGAACCATTGAGATACTTTTTTATTACGTCTTCTGTACCGTAGATGTCCATAACAGATCAGAATTGTCATCTCTATTAGCCAAAGAGTATTAAAAAAAACTTATTTTTATCATAAGAATAATTTTCTACTTTTTTGAACTGCTTAAGACAAATAAAAGCTTGAAGAAGAAGATGTACTATTATTTCAGATGCTCTGTTATTTTTAAAAGATGCTTTAAAGAAATAATCGTCAATTAATTAATTATTCAATTTAACAGAAGAAAACCTGGTAGAAGATGTCAAACAAAATGTTCTCTGGGAGCCAAACCATAGACTCCGTAAACCTAAATAAACAATGTTGTTTGTATATTCCTGATGTAAGTTTTTTTGCCCTGTTGTTTGGTATGTGTTTTGTGTTGTTGAATGTTTGCATTACAGGCATTGTGCAAACGGGTGTAGAGAGAAAAATATTGATATAATTACAAAATAACTGGTGTCCTAAGTGGAACTTTAATCCTATAAATATATATTTAAAAAAGATGGCATCTTGAACGTTACCTTGAAAAATGATCAACAACTTGTTTGACGGCCTGTGCGTAAAGGCTGGTATCAGTGTGCATCGTAAATCCTTTATATATGATTTTACAGAAATGTCGGACTAGACAATTATTTTCAAAAACTTATCTGAAATTTAAACATTTAAATGTTTTAAATTACACAAAATAGATTATAAAGAAAATTACACATCAGTACACATGGCTGTCATTAATACATTTCTTTGATTTCTCAAAACTATAATTTAACAAACTTAATTTATTTATTTCCTTGTTTTTCTTGGTTTTGTTTAAGTGCGCAATTGCCTCGAAACTCTGTGATAAATACGCAATTTATCTCGAAACCTCGATTTTGAAAACATAAAAGTAGGTGGTGTATTTTACGACCTACGCAAATCCGCTATACTTCACTTCTGACCTACTACAAATCCGCTACACAACACATCCGACCTAATAGCACGTGGTTTTACAGTAAAACAAGCATGAGCAAAGTAAAGAAAAGTTTAACATTGAATTTTGTATTGTATTTCTCAACAATCCTTTTTAGGATTATATTAATCTTTTAGATATATACAGGAAGGAGAATTCTTATAATTATGAACACAAATTAACATAGTTGAACATTATTAAGACTTGAAATATCACTTTGTGTTATTAATAGTTTAAAATTTAATGTTCAAGATATGTATGTAAAAGATATAAACTAAAATGTTTGGTTTCTAAACATTTTGTAATGATTATATACTTGTACACAGTATTTTTTATAATTTATATATCAGAAATCAATTATATATCCCCACCCCCTTTCCCGGGGGTTTTTAAAAATGTAATTCAAGTGGATGGGGGAAAAATAATTTTCTCATGTAAAAATCCCCTGTTCATCTCGTGAAATAAACTCAAGTTTTCACAGTGTAACGGTCCTAGACCCATGATCAAATCGTCGACATTCACCTCGACAACACGTGAATTATCACAAAATATTTCACGGGTCACTCATGTGAAATAGACCAAATAATCTTCGAGTGCCCCGTGAATATCCCATGATAATTCACGTGTTTAATAAGTTTAATCATTTACAGGGGAATCAGGGCCATGTAAATAAAAATTGATACATGGACTCCCCCAATCCTATAAATCAACCAATCCACTTTCCCCCAATTTCAAATCAATAAATCCACTCTCCGCCAATTTCAAATCAATTCAATCTGCACTTTCCGCCAATCCTATAAATCAATCAATCCACTCTCCGCCAATTCTTAATTAATCAATCCACTCTCCGCCCATTTTTTATCAATAAGTCCACTCTCCGCCAATTTTTAATCAATCAATCTACTCTCCGCCAATTCTATAAATTA